TATGAATAATGCTTTGCTCCATAAATAATTCACTGAACTCATAGCATAAGGTACAGGTGTTAGCTTGTCACAGTTTAGCCTCATATGGATATAACCAGTATATTTGTGAACCCTTGGGGACTGGGAGAAGACTTGCTTGTCTTTTGAAGCTGAAAATATAAAAAAAAAATCAACCAAAACTTTAGGAAAACTGTTTACAAGGAAAAAATACACAGGTACATTAGTGCTTCAGTAGCCGAACCCCAGCCTGAGACAAAAGCTTCTCTCAAAACCCCTTGAATTTGGACAGATGCAAGACTGAACTGGGTGCTGGGGGCATCTTTAAATAGAGCACAATAGAGTGTTTAGTTTACTGGAGGCGAATGCTACAGCCAAACTTCATTGAAAAACCTACTTCATTTTTTCACCCAGCTTCTGCTTTCTCATGAATGCATACCCATGTATGAATTCTGAAAGCTAGCAAAGTTCCTAAAGACAAAACAGAAAACAAACAGGTTCAGTCACCTCTGCAGAGCACTTGCAGAAACCAGTGGATGCCGTACTAGAATCTCTGAAGTCAAAGAAGGGCATGCGAATGGACACAAAGACTGACACTGCAGGTTGACTTCCCACAGAAAGCAGAAAGTAATTTTGGAAATACAGAAAAAAATAGTGTCATTATATTTCCCCTCTGTTCCCAGCTTCTCCCTTCTTTATAACCCTCAAGGAACTAGTTTTTTTTAACCATGAACCCAAGTGCATTGGGGTAACTCAATTTCAACTCCTTATATGTGTGCGTGCTAAAACGCAAAATGCCTGGCCCACTTCTCTGGCTCTCTGCATTCAGGTGGCAGAGGCAGAAGTATAAACCAGATGGAACATGGCAGATGGGTATTCTGCTGCTGCAAAGAAGTCCCTGGAGCTGTAAAAGGTAATGCAGTCCAGCTTCTGAAAATTACACTTCAGGCAAGACAACTAACTAGAATAATCACAAAATCAGCAATAGAAAGGAAAAAATAACTTCCTGCAATACAATAAGAAAGAGATACAAAGATAGAGACAAACTTAGGAGGTTGACTTTGCAACACCTTGTGGTAATGAGCGGTGATCAAGATTACAATGAAGAGATTCATGCCTGAAAGCTGGCCTGCTTCTTCCAAGTATAGCAGATGATCTAATAAAATATAATCTCTCCTCTAAAACCTTGCCTCTCTCAGATTTTTAACCCATTCTGAATAGAAAAACTACTGCCATTTCATTTTCATTTGGAGATTTTAAAGAGCTTTACAAAGAGCTTTACAGATATCATTGGGATTCTTGATGTATAAACTATGATGGACTATGTCCTCAGAAAGACAAACATTCCTTGATGCTTTGACACTTTACAATCCATATCCTGACTTAGATACTGATGTGCTATTAGTTAGTGCATGGGGACAGTTAGGTGCCTCCGAATGGGACAAATGGAATGCCAACCTGCTGAGGCTGGCCAAGTGGCACTGATGGAGATGTAGGTGCCCCTCTCTTCTCCACGTCCTCCCCAGCATAGCTGCTATCCTGAGCTGCAGCTGGTGCTTCTCTTCTCCTGCAATTCATAGTTATGAACACTCTCCTTAAGATGGACGCTTAAGCCATCCCCTTCACACAACATACAGGCAAGATCCTCTCCAACCTCCTTGGAGCTCTCATTTGGGATCTCAAATCCCAGCTTCAAATCCTTCAAATGTCTGAAGGTGTTTGGCCCCTTCTCCTCTATCCCTTGGTACAGTTCATTCGTTTTCTCACCCTCCCCCGCCCTCCAATGAACAGTGAATCACTTCCTAGAAATTGGAAGACCTTCAACTGAGGGAAGGACAATCTTGGCTCCATGTCCCATCATCCCTTCTCAAAGCTTACTCCTGGTGTTTAAGCTGCTTCCTCTGTGAGGTAGAAAATGCAAATTCGTATCTACTCAGGCAGAGGTGGGATTTGAAGTGGGACCTCCCAACTACTGGTTGAATGCCACTAGACTGGACTGAGGGTGTCAACACCATACTCAATATCTAAAAGATAATAAAATATCTTAAGAATATCTATGTCTGTGTGATAACATTGGACCCTGCAGGTGAGCCATACCTTTCTAAGTTTGAAATCCTGACAGGTCTGAAGTGCAAGACAGATGCTGAACTGCTCAGCAATGTCAAGGCTGGAGACATTCTGGGCGTGTAGAGAAGCAAAACTTAAGGCACATCAGGAACATCTTAACATTAGACACTTAGAGTATACCTGATACTCAGAGACAAGTGGTTCTTCTCGTATGTGATTGCAAAGACCTATGTATTTTCTTATCTTGGAAATGTATACCTTCACACTTTCAGCATGTCCAAGCACCAGCAGCTTCCAAATCTAGAACACAGAGCAGCAGGCTGTAAACAGAAGAGAAATCTAGGGTACATTAATTCGGGCTTTGTAAATTAATAACTAAACTCCTCAATAAGATCCTGGATACTACAGATACGTGGAGAACATGGTGATGGCATGAAGGCATGCTAGGAGATAGAAAATGAGGACAAAGCTCTGCATGCCTGGGGTCAAACTTTCCAGGCTGCCTCAGTTGAAGTTCTGTTTTTTTCATATGGCAGTTTCATATGTGTACATCACCTGTGGAGCTGAGCACAGCTGGGTATGAACTTGTCTGAATCCATTCCCACTCAACTGCAGGCACAAACCCTGTGGAGACCATGAATTTCACAAAAATCTCTCTACATAAGTAATTTTACACTCATACAAAAGAAGGTTCTTAATATCCTATGCTAGACAGCTATTGAAATTTCGTGGGTGTATGAGATGGACAAATTCTGTGACCCCTTAACTAATTATTGTGCCATTACTACGTCTGGTGCTTTCTACATTTGCTGACCCCAGACTATACTTACATACCTCTCTTCATATGATTTCAGACTGAATATGACTTTCTTCTCATACTCATTTTCATGTAACTCTGATCTGTCCCTTTTTTGAAATTCTGAGCTGGTTTTCATAAAAATCTTATCTACAATCAAAGTTCTGATTCTCTTTAATGCTCTGGGATATGGCCTTATCTCATGCTATTATTAAAAACAGAAAGCTCTTTTATACAGGTATATTTTTGACCTCTGCTCTTCTCTATTTGGAATAAAACCTGCAGCAGCATGGCCAAGAATAGAAGCAGCATCACTCAGCTCCCAATTCTATACTTTAACCGCTAGATGATGTTTCCTGTGAGTATATAAAATGTCATTTAAATGCAAAACTCTCACTATGTTTGCTTCCGCTTATGATGTGTTAATATAATTTTTTACATCCTGCCTCTCCTTGACCTCTCTTGTCCTCCTGGGCTTAGCAGATCTTCAAGGTCCGTTACAACAGTGAGGAAGGTTTGGGTACTTGTCACTCAGCCTGTATGTGAAAGGTTGCCATCGAACAGCTGTAGACAGTTATTATACTATAGTCAGCCCTGTTTGAACAAAGGACTCTCATGACTCTGTGTGAACAAAAATTCTGATAATGCAGATATTTTAGGAAACAAGCAGAAACCTTTCAAGGATATTACCACCAGCCAGGCACTTGTGTTACCCAAGAGTTCAGCACCTTCAATATGTGATGAAATGCCCTAAAGTCCTTTTTTGCAGCCACATGTATAACCTGGGATGCATTCCACTTAAACTGAGGGCACTACATTTGTATAAAATCGTGTCAATCCCAGCCAATCACCATTATAGTAAAATAAAAACAACACTGTGATTCTGTAGATAAAGTTAGCAGGTAAGTGGACAAAGAGTTGTTCCTATATTGTGCTCTGCCAAGAAATTAAGACTACCAAGAAATTAAGAAATAAGTAGAAGTGAATAAAAGGGTTAATAAAAGAGGCTATATTACACATCAATCTATTGCAAAAGCTTTTTTTAGCTTTTTAGCATAGTAAAACTATGACTTATCTGTGACTATGACGGACTTCTGATGGTAGGTCATGAAGTTGTTTTCCAAGTGCAGAAGGAACGTAATAGAAACATACTATTTTCTACAAAAGCTTGGGTTCTATTTAAAAAATGTTGTCAACCAGAAATGGGGAGGAGTGTCTGAGTAAGAGGAACCATAATAGTCATTATCTTCTGAAAAATCAAGGCACCACAGACAATGTATTTGACCAGCAATAAGATCATATGTTCATGTCATTTTGATCAGGAATAACATTGGCCTGCTAAGCTCCAAATTTGCACAGCACTTCAGTACCCAGCTTTTCACCGAGTTGGTAAACATCCACAGTGAATTAAGTACTCACTGCACTGAGAGATGGTCAAAACTGGAATTTCTGTTCTGCAGGAAATCCTGACCCTTCAGAGTTTGATTATGCTCTAAAGCAGAAAGAACTACTTTCTGTCACTACTTTAGAATTTCCCATTAAACAAATGTCTTTAAGAAAAGGGATTCAGGAATCTAAAACAAAAGCATTTTGGTAATGACAAAATAATTTATTTTTATATGGTTGAATGGGTTTAGTTTGAAGTAGTAAGAAGCTTTATATCAATTGTATCTAAATGCTATCTAAACCAATTTAGATTACATTTCATGTCAACATAGTAATAAGGTTAACTTTAATATATAATGTAAAAGTCAAGACAAAATAAAGAATGGGCATGACTAAACCAGACGATATTTACAAAACTGAAATAAGTATTTCTGACAGTTGTCCATGGATATCTGCACTGTATCTCTTATAAAATCTTAAAATATTGACTACCCTTCATTCACTGGTAAAAAACAAAACAACCCTCCCTTTCCCTGTCCCAAAACTATTCCATTGAAAAACATGATTAGTTCTGGCCTTGCTGAAGTGAGTGGGAGTTCTGGCATTGACATCAGTGAAGTCAGAACTTTATTCGCTGGTTTCAGAAGGACTAGTTGTGTACTTGAATACATGCAAACATAAGTCCTGTATTGATCAATGACCTTAACAACAAAACTTCAAGGAAAATTACCTCATCTCAATCTCAGCTGAAAGCATAGAGCAAGACTCTTAAACATTGTGCATAGACTCTCAAACAACCAAAAGCATTGTCTAGACAGATTCTGAGACCATTTTCCGTGAATTTACATCATCTGGAACAACAACAAAAATAGATTATTTCGAAATCAGTATGACCAGTCCACCAATTTTAAAGTATCTTCAACCACAGGAAAATAGTGACACACTATTTTTACCATACACTTAGAAAAAATCATTACTGTTATTGCATTATTCAAATCTGCATACTTATAAATGAGGTATTGATTACTGACATTAAGGAGATACTGTTCTCAACAGTTAATATATTATAAACTAAACCATATAGTAACATAAACAAAAGGACAATTCACCAAATGTGGGCAAAGATGCTTCAGGCACCATCTATTATGTGCACATCTGCCCACAGGGCAGATTGCCATTATCTAGCATTATCAAGAGGCTCCATGTATTTCTCAGGAAACAAGTACAAACATTCCCAACAAATCTTGGTGCTGAATATATGACGTTGCCTTCCATCTTGGTTATGCCTGAGAGAGAACGCTCCTTTTTTTTTTTTGTGAGTTCAGAAAAAAAAAAAGTAGATTCTCTTCTTCCCTCCTGCCTAATCCCTTGAGCATGTGCTTTACTACAGATTTGAAAAGCCTCCTGGGGCCATTTTGTCATGGAACTTGACAGGCAGGGCAGGGCTTCATTGCCCACATATGGGGTTCCTTGCCCATCTACACTGCCTGCCACTTTTCTGATGGTACCTTGGAGACTAAAATTCTTTTGGATGTCCACTGGCCTGGATATAACCATGAAGCTAAAGACCCTCACATCATTTTAGGCCCATATATTCTGAAGTGACATCCCCGCTGCTGTAAATGATAAAAGACTAACAACCATCCCCATCTACCTCCAAAACCAACAGCCACTGCAAAGCAAAAGGCATCTTAATTTAAACAACAGAGAAATATATTTCAGAGAAAGTAGGAAACAATATTTCAAGCACGAATCATGCAACGCAAATGACTGCAAAATGCCACTGAAATTTTCAGAATGATCACTTAAAAGCTTCTTTGTTTTTTTTAAATGAGTGTTTATTTTTGGTACATTAAGTCAGTATTTTTGGTAGAAGTAGGTGGAATGCATGCTCTAATCGAAACTTTACATGAGTATTAGCTGGAACTTTGTAACTACTTTAATCCAAACAGATGACTGTATTTAATACTGCAGTATAAACTTGCTTAGTCTCAAAAATAAATTTGCAAAGGGGGTGGAATACTCTGAGAATAATTAATGTGATAGGGAGGGGTTTTTATCTTGATGCCATTACTTGAAACTGACTAAATTAAATCTGTTATGTTAAGTAACCTGGGACACCAAATGGAATTGGAACCCTACTTCCTAGGTACAGAAATATAGTAGAAAACAAAGCCCTGTCACAAAGCGGACTATCCAAGCAGCCAGGGCATAAGAAAGAAGCTCTGTCAACCCTGTTAAGACTGGCCCAAGAGCAACTCACCTCTGTTCCCAGAGCAAATACATAACAGAGGCGGAAACTGAGCAGGGATCTCCCAGGTTCCAAGGTCTTAAGTACAAGTCCCAACCATCACTATGGCACAACCTGCACTGACCCCACTGGATCTATATTTGAACTGTGGCAGCCAGATACAAGACAAACAGAGATGGGGAGCAAGTAAGCATCCACTGAAATGCTAGTCTAAGGACCAACTGTCTGTGTTGACAGATGTGTTGTACCATTTTGACAATGCAATTCCACTGAAGTTCTCTAATCGCCATTTAAGTATTGCTGGATATTGTTAGTGAATTTGCCACATTTTTTTAAAGGTACTAAGAAAGATGAAGCACCTTGCTCTATTAATGTTACACAAATTTTATCCTATGTTTATTAATTATCTCTATGGACAGCAAAAGCAAATAAGGTATTTAACAGTGATGAGAATGAATGGCCTGATAGAACGTGCAAAAGATTCACTGGAAACTCGTGAATAATGGCCAGAAGGCAACAGTACCACAAGCATAAAACTAGAGTAACTGCAAGGATGATTCCAGGCCAATTAAGATTCAGTAAACACTCTGCAACTGTGGGTTCCTTATGGTTTTTATTAAGCCAGAATGAAAGAGTTAAGCACATAATTCTGTACCCCTTTTTCTTTTTTCCTTTATGCTTTTCTTTTTTTTTTAAAAGAAGAATCTCCCTAGAGGTCTCCCAAGGTCTGAATCTATGGCTGCATTTAATCACTTTTGGTGTCTTTCCTTCTTCTTTGCAACAATTTTGCCTGAGCACTCCTGGGACTGGTGTTGCATTACAGATTCATCAATGATTTGCTGCTTACTCTACATTATCCCACAAGTGCTGAGGCAAACAGTTCTTTGCCAGGATCAAATGATGTTCTATATTCGCCTGCAGTTTAAAATCTTGTTAATGTTGACACTTCTGATGAAAGCTCCACAGTGAAGCTGGAATGAGTGAAACCTGCAGGCTTTGGTGACTGCCAAATAAATGGGTACTCAGGGCACAAGTTTTTTTCCACGTCCTCTATATGCCCACAGGGTCAGCATCAACTTAGGCAACACCTTTACCAGAAACAATGTCAAAAGAACACCTACTGCAACATCTGTGGGTGATGTTGCTGATGGGTGACAGGGTGACTGCTACCCTGTGCTGCTAAACCAGCGTGTCTGAGAAAGATCTTGGCTTTAAAGTCAATTAACTTTAATGGAAAGACTCCAAATTACTTCAGTGATCTTTGGACCAAGCTCAATAAGAACTAATTAGGTCTCCATTCCAAAGGTTAGTTGTCAGAATTATTAATGGATTTTTGTTTGTTTGTTTTTAATATTGGATAAGTGGCTCTTTTTTTTCCCATTATTTAGAGGGACTGATGTCACTTTGAAAGTCATAAATTGCAAATACAGATGCCAGTATTGAAAAAATTAATTTCAGATAGTAAGACAAGTAGAGGAATTTTACACACTGTGCAAACGTGGTCCACTTCATGGGGACAAAGGAAATACAAACTACAGTTAATGACACCTTTAATTTAGTTCTGTGGTATTTACTATACTCCACAGGCTTAGAAAACTTTACATGTGTTCAACATGAGTACAACTAGGTTTACTGATTATAGCTTCCAGTTCTGCCAACAAAATCTAGGACCGGAGCTGGACTTTTCTGAACTCACCTCACTCCCTCTTCTTAAAACTCCTGACACAGAAGAAGATTTTTATGTCTGAAAAACTTACCACAGGAGAGAAGATACTTGAAGAAAGATGATGATACGCGTTCCTCATGTGGGAGTGGTACCACAGCAAATGGCTGAGCAGTCTCATCAATTTCTAAGATTTATTTATCTCAGCAGCAGATCATCACCTGCAAATCAAATTAAGAAATGCTCAAAATCTGAAAGTCACAAATTAGACCAGGGTGAATTATATGATGTCATTTATCTGATGATTTTCCTCCTATATTTCCTTCTTTACAAATTGTCCCAATAGGCCAGGAATTTTTTTCTTCAGACTTTCTCCATTATTAAAAATAAATTGCTAAATCATTTCTACATATTGGTCAGTAGCTTATTGCTTTTTTAAAGGAAGTTTTCCTAGAAACTGCAGGAAATTTGTAAAGTTCAAAGTATAATAAACGTAATATACTCAAATTGTATGTATAGCATACAAGACAGGAAACAGAGATGTTAATTTTTCCCAATGAATTGGTCAGACAACAAAATGATTTAACTTGGAGCGTAGTCTTCAAAAAAAAAGACCTAAAATCTGCCTTTGGATACTGGACTCCAATTCTCTCTGGTGCTAACAAAATGCCAAGTCATATTCTGGCAGAACATGGGCCTGTACCTTTGCTGCTGAGCTCTGAAAGCCTAGTTATAGGAGAAGAGGAGAGTCTGTCTTTGTGGTATAACAGCGGCGATGAGAGGAAAGATATAGTTCACACCCTCGCATGGTGCATACAAAGGCAGAGAACAAAATGCTCTTCCTGTGGGCAGGGACTGTTCCCTCCTTTCTCCCTGACAGGGACTAATTCCCCTGAAATACAAGGGGGGAAAGGATGATGGTTGCTCCCCTCTCCTCCATCTCCTGCTCCTGCTCCCCTTGTACTCACCAAAGGGACAAGCTCAAGTGAATTCCGGCACAGAGGTTTTCAATAGGCTGCCCCTGCCTGCCCCTTTGCCAGAGGCCATGTCAGCTGAAACGTGCATCTGCTCCGTACCCCCTCCAAGTCCCAGGTCACTCACTACCTTAAAGTGGATGAAATACCAGGGTACAAATGGGATGCACTGAAGGTCACCTGATGGAAGTCATGGTGGATGTAGGTATACGCACAGTCGCCATTTGCTCTGTACGTGGACATGAATCACTGGCAAATCCATTTGGTCTGAAGCGTTGGTCTGCAGAGCTGCCTTGTAGTTAACAGTCTCTTGCAGAGCTATAGGTTAGCGCAGAGCTGTGGAGCACCCTGTACAAATCCAAGCTTTAGAAGCAGTGACACTGTTGATCTGAGTTAAAGCCAAGGAAGATGTGGGCGAATAACCTGACAATCAGTTTCTCAACAGTCTTGTAGTTGCACTGAGTAACAGTTACTCAGATTTCTAATTAATAGACAGACCATATAAAAGATTTTGGGTTAATAAAAAAGAAAAATTGGAAGAGCTCAGATGCACTAAATACCTGTGTTGACCCCAGCCTAAAGGCTCAATTACGATGTGTAAGTATCTTTGCAACTTGTGTTAAAAATAATAACAGAACTGGCACTAATTTATGCCCAGTCAGTCAGAATGATCCATAATGTGGAAGTTTTTAACAAGCTGCTGTCCAACAGTTTTGACATGTTTTAATACAAGCCATCCTGATCAGCCCTGTGGAGGCTAATGCTTCTAAGCTTAATGACTCTCCAAAGAGGAGGAGGTATAAAGATTTAGTCACTCGGTAGAGAGACCTCTGCAGCCAGCTTGGAAATGACAAACAATTTGTTAATAGAGAAGCTTTATTTTTATATTATTTTTTGCCGACGAAGTGAAAACAGAGCATTGATTAAGCAATCCAAGCTGAGAATATTCTGTCCAAATTGGAGAGCTTTCAAAGGGGCAGCTGGTTTCAAGGCTTTGAAATGCAACTTCTGTTTGTTGTTCGATGCTTAAAGATACCTATCCCAGAGCCACAGACAGTAACTGGTGTCAAGCTGACACTGTAGTTCAGAGATGGATTTCAGTTGTGTGGGCCGTGCCACATGCACAACACTTGTGTAAAAAATGCTTTTTGTCTCAGATGCTATGATCTAAGAGGAAGGATTAATAGAGCCATCAACAAAAAAGTTCTCCGTACAACTAAGAGTATGGCCAAAGAATACCAACAGCCAAACATGCTCTTAACTCACCATCATCCCTCTCTTCCACCTATCAGATGAAGTCATTTGTATAGAAATTCAGACTGAGCTTTTCACACGCATCGCTTGGTTTCTGCACAGCTCAAATTCTAAGCTCATTTCCTGTGAACTAATTTTACTGAAGTCAGCATAAGTATTCAACAGTACATGAGAACTAGGTGTCTAGAGGTAAGTAAAAACATTTGTGTTTTTTTCCTTTGCAGAGAAGAGTTCAATTTTGCCAGAGGAGCTTTAAATACAAGCTTTTGGCCCTCACAGGTATTAAAGTTTGAGTGAGTCATATTCTCATTCCCTTGTGTAGCTACATGATTAGACTGTATTTCCCTCAATTCATTGGAGAATAGGCTATGTCCACAGCCATAAAGCAGAGGCAGTGGTACGTCATGGAAGATTAGGTCCAGACAGGAAAACAGGCCCCTAAGTAGAACAGGAGCAAGAAGCATCTAAAGTGTACTACTCAGAAGATATTATGCAGCCTTTTTGGAATTAAAAATAATATGGTTTTGTGATTGAGTATTTGGGGGTTGAGGTGGTTTTGTCTTTTATTAAAATAAACCTGCAAAAAGAACATGCCTTTCACTACAAATCTCCTAATGTACCAATAGAAAACTGCTGCAATGAAAAATTTTCACCTTAATCAGGTCAGTTTGTTTGGACAGACTGCAGAGTAAATACCTATGCCACATTATTTGTATTGTAGCTCATTCTCCACAGCTAAGAAAAATCAACACAGATGTATAAGCCAAGTCAAAAATATGTATTATTTTTAACAAATAAGCGTTAAAAAAATTACATGTTTTTTCAACTAGTAATCTGTACATTTTACAGATCTGAAAATTAAACCAGTTATTTTTGTCCCTCTGGATTTTAGATCAACACCCTTCACGCTAACAGGCTGTTAACAGAGGGAGTGTCCTTGATGTAGTAGAATTGTTTTCCTGAAAAGTTAATGCAGGAATACAAATCCTAAGGCTAAGATTGCATTTTCTGATAATCTTGATCAGAAAGCCAGCACATATACTGGAAGGGGCAGCTTTCCATTATCATTATTTATCATCCCCGTTTAACCTATTCCCTCCACACTATTGATGGAAAACTTTCTAGTTGTTTGAACACCTCCTTCTTCCCTGAAAAAAAACCAACCAGAACAAGAGAATGAAACAAAGATTTGTGTTGGCTATTTTAGGACACTGGGCAAAAAACATTACCAGTGGTAAAATTATTTGGATTTTTTTTTTGTTGAGACAAATTACTGAGCAGAAGATTTGTTGGGTGAGCAACTGCAACAGTGGTGCCAGCGGAAGCCCTCTTGTAGTGATCTTTACAGCACTGTTGGTACCTGACAATTCTGTAGATATTCATAGCCTGAGTACCATCTTGATCAGAATTTCTTTGAAATTCCTTAATATAACATTATGTGAGCACTTCTATGAGACTCGTTGCTGTTCTTTTGATAAATACAATATGTAGTTTTGCTGCCAGAGAGGGAAGTAATAGCTTTGTACGTACATGAGATGACACTCTTCAAAATAAAATTCTGTTTCCTTTAATTTCCTGTGATCCAGGATCCTGCCTCGCTGTGAAGTTGACACAGTGGTAAGTACTGAATCACATACAGATTTCTCATTCAGTGTATTTCATAATTTATTTGTAGTGGAAAAAGGATTTGTAAGTAGAAACCACAGGAGAGTCATATTTCAGGTCACATTTGTGCAGCTCACCAGTTAACCTGAAAATCTAAATGTACTGAGACTTCCTAATATCTTCTCAGAATTGTGTGTAATATTACCTATGAATAGGCTCAATCTAAAAGGAAGCTTTTTATATACCAAAAAATGTTTTCTGCATTGTCATCTACTTCTTTGTTCAGTCATTTCATGTCTATTGCTCAAAATCTGCAAATTAACAGCCAAATCAGGTTTTGACCCAGCCACTGCCTTCTCCCTGTAACGGATTAATAGCTAATATATACTCCCCTACTGGATTGGCTAAAAAATGCAATGGCACCAGTAGAGAACACATAATGCCTTCTTCTACCAACTACTTTGTCATATGGTGACAGATTATGAAAGTAAGTGAAACAGCAGGAAAATAACTGAATTTTTGTCTCTTTTCATTCCCAGCATCCTACTGAAATTTCCTACTCCTATTAATGACTGTAGTGGATGAAAATAGGAAAAATCTTTCTGCAACTGAGAGAGATATTGAGAAGTCAAGGAGACTGGGTTCAGCTACTGGGCATGCCCTAGATGAGTGACACTGGCTTATTTCCCACATTTCACAGTGACCATAAAAAAACGTTTGCTTCCTTTGGCCCTGAGTGTACTTTACGTATCTCAGTTGCAAGCTCTTTCGGGCAGAGTCTGCTGCTGAATATGCTTTTCCAGTGCTAATGCAACACAGCCATGATATATCTTGAGACCTGACAAAAATCCAAGTAATAAATAGTTACCAAGGAACTTTCTCCATGCAACATTTTAGTTCTGTGAAAGACCATTTTCCTGAGCACTCAGTACAGTACTTGTACATTTGCAAATCACCAGGGTGCCAAAAGAAAATCTAATAATACTTAAAAAGGCAGAAATAAAACCTGAGTCAAGTGGCAAAAGGCTATTAGAGAAATACTAGGCACCTGGACAAATCTCTGCATCCTTTGGTATCCAAGCAGTTTCACCTTCCAAAATATTCTGAAATTCTTTTGATACTGCACGTGTATCTCTTAAACAGCTTTTACAGTTCAGCTAAAAAAGCCACACTGTAAGAAAATGTTGCACCTGGTGAAAGTGCTTTAAGGAATGTAGACCCTGATCTGCATCCCTTTTCTCACACAAATATTCATAGCTTTGATTATGACATGAGTAGGATTATTTATGTAAGAGAGAAGCAAAGTAGGCATAGGAACTTAAGAATTGCACTAGCATAGTAAAGCATTGTAAAGCTATAAAACTGGCATTTAAGCTCTTTCCAGTAAT